CCTGATAAAACAGGGTCAAATGAAAGGGGAGGAGGTCCTCCCCTATCAGTGGACTTGGAAAGGGGCAGGGAGGAGACCAGGGAGGGAGTGTGGGGTTGGGGAGGGAATGAGGGAGCGGGATACAGCTGGGACACAGAGTTAACAAAATGTAACTAATAAGAAAAATAAAATTAAAAAAAAAGAAGTGCAGCTGCCCTGCCCTTCAGCCATATGGGGTACACTTTCCCACTCCTCATTCTGACCTTCGGAGCATCCCCGGCAGACTGGGATGTTTCATTCTGGTGGCTTAACAGCCTGCAAAATGAAACCTCCCCTCACTTCTGAGTGCAAGAGGGAGCCCCAGGGATGTCTGTCTCTCACTGGCCCTAAAGGGAAGGAAGCTCCTGCTGTCCCTCTGAAGGTGTGAGTGTACCTGTGCTGGAATGAATGGTTAATGGAGAGAAGGTGTTCAAAAATGTGGGCCTTTGTTTTATGCAGGAGATACCCAAACCACAAAGATGCAGGAGGCCAGACGGCTGAAGCTTACCACGCTACAGTGGAAAGGGGTGGTAGAGTAGGCAGTAAGGTACTCTAAGCAATCTCAGAAGGGTGTTTAGTGAGCCCAAATGTCAGTCAAGAGCCTGGGCCAAAGTTCCCGTAGACTTTGGGTGTAATGTTGGGTTTTCAGTCTCATCTATGATAGCGGTGTGACCTTCCTGGATGGCCAAACATTCCTAAGAAGCTTGATGATGACTGGCTTTCTTTGATGGTTGGAGACTCTAGTCCACATGGGAACCGACAGTCCCTTCCTTTGCTTCAGGAGATAAAAGGGAGCAAGAGCAACAGGGTAGGGGATGGGAGCAGGTCAGAAGGGACCGGGGGGGGGGGAGGGCTGTTCTTGCTGCCAGCATGGCAAAGCACAGTACTTAAGACATACATAAGGCAGTGAGGCAGAAGCAGGTGGCTCTCTGAGTTTAAGGCCAGCCTGGTCTACAAAGCAAGTCCCAGGACAGCCATGGCTCCACAGAGAAACCCTGTCTCAAAATAAGACTGTGAGTTCCCTGAGGTCACACAATCAGCCTCACATTAGTCTTTGTGACACCGATTGTCCAGATCCAGCAAGAACTCAGATAGTTCCTGCCATTTCTGTGCAAACTGTGAACACCTGGGCCATTGTCTGTAACAAAGGGCGGGGAAGTTTCACGCTGCCCCGGTGATCCCTTCATCGGCGGCTGACAGCTCCTGTGTGCGGCTTTAGAGTCCTCTAGCACAGTGGTTCTCAACCTTCCTAATACAGCAGCCTATAACACATTTCCTCATGTTGTGGTGACCCCCTCCCCCAACCATAAAATCGTTTCCATTGCTACTTCAGAACTGTGATTTTGCCACCGTCGTGAACCATAACGTAAATTATCTGATAGGCAGGATATCTGATAGGTGACCCCTGTGACAGGGTTGTTCAACCCCCAAAGGGGTCACAACCCACAGGTTGAGAACCACTGCAATAAAATGAGGGAGGAGAGGTCCCTAATGCTTTCATAAGGGCATTGGAAAAGCAGACAATTTCAAGCCAAGTTCACTCCCAGGGGAGGAGTAAGGGAGAAGAGAGAGACATGAAAGAGCACCCACATCCACTTCTCTGTCATTGAGGGTGGTGGCTTGCAAGCTAGAGTCCTCCGTTGGGGGCCAATCCAGGAGCAACAGCCTGCAGCATAGGCAGACTGCATCTCAGTCATCTTTGTAAATTGTAGCCCGTTGGTCTGCAGGTCTTAAGGAAATTTCAGCAGCACAGCTCATAATAACAAGGAGTATAACTTCTTGGGTCCCTCCGTGTTTTTAAATTAAAGCTTCATGGCCCTGACAAAGAGGAAGCCTCATTCAGAACTGATCTAGCAATGGACCTGGGCACATTTGCCAAACAGCAAGGGACAGTGAAGTCATCTAAACCTTCACTGTCTTGGGGCCAGTGTGATTCATAAGTAACCTCCTGATGCAGGAAAAAAAAAAAATGATGCTGATAGACACATTAGGAAGAGATGAGGTTCAAACTCTCTGGAGAAATTCTTTCCTCCTTGCAGCTGTCATGGCTGTGTCCAATTAAAGGACAGCTTGCACCTGGCAAATCATCCTGAGAACAGAGCTGGTGTGACAATGGCAGTGGAGGCCAGCCTGAGGAAGAAGAGTCTAGAGCAGTGGTTCTCAGCCTCCCTAATGCTGCAACCCTCTAACACAGTCCCTGGTGTTGCGGTGACCCCCAACCATAAAATTATTTACTTTTCAACTTCATACGTATAATCTTCCTACTGCTAAGAATTGTAAGTATCTTTGGAGATCGAGGTTTGTCAAAGGGGTCACGACCCACAGGTTGAGAACCCCTGGTCTACAGGCTACTGCAGAAAAAGTATGCCTGCTCAACATGCACGAGGCCCTAGGAATTCTACACTAGAAGGGGAAATGAGCCCTTGGCATAAGCAATAGGAGAAACCCCTAGCCCTTTCCCAGTGAACTAAAAACCTCAGGTCCCATCCCAGACCCTGAGGATGGAGATCAGACTAGGAAAGCTGAAGTTGTATGTCTTTATTACCATATACTTATCACACATATCGATGGTCTCCATCGTGACATTTTCAAGCATGGATGTGGCATGTTTTAATCATATTCACACCCCGTTTTCCTCTCTTGTCCTCTTACCCTCACTGATCACCTTCTCCCTCCCCATCGACTAGTCCCCTTTCTGATTTCATGGTACTTTAGTTGATTGCTTGAGTTCAATGAGTTTCCTTGGAGTTACTGACAGAGCATAGATGAGGTTTGTGTTTTGCTTTTGCTTTTTTTGTTTTAATACTTTAAACTATGTATTTATTTTATGTGTATTGGTGTTTTGCCTGCCTATATGTCTGTGCCCCACCCGTGTGAGTTACGGGCAGTTGTGAGCCACCGTGTGGGTGTTTGGGAGTAAACCTGGTTTCTCTGGAAGAGCAGTCAGTGCTCTTAACTGCTGAGCCATCTCTCTAGCCCCCGAAGCTGAGGGCTTTTGTAGGCTCTTTTACAGGAGCGTGAGTGCCTTACCAGTGGCTGTCCTACTGTAGGAAATGTTTCTCCCTCCTCTAGGGCCTATAGATCATCAGGAAGAATTAGGGATTCGTGAGCCCTTTTTTCCTAATGACTGTTAACTTTGTGCAAACCCTCAAGGAGGGGTGGAGTCCCGGGTTCCCTCCCTGCCCATCCAGACAGAGTGTTGATGAGTCCAGTCCAGTGCCGATCTTATGCACAAGCTTCTATACTTATCTTAAATAACCCCAGGTTCTTTGAAATCAAGAGTACATCAGCCCAAGTTAACCGTCCACAGCACATCTCCACTTCCTCCAGTTCTTAAGACTTTTTCCACCCTCTCTTTCACTGTTTTCCCCAAGCCTTAAATAGGGCCATTTAGATGTCCATTTACAGCTGAGCACTCAACGGCCACTTACCCTCGACACTTTGGTAGTTACGCCACTGCAGCCACCAATGGCCACTAGAAAAAGAAGCTTCTCTGACCGGATCTGACAGCAAGCACTACATAAGCTATAGTCATAGTTATCTAGAGGGCACTTTAATGGACACATCATGTCCACTTACAAAAAGAAAAAAAAAAATAAAAGCAGTAGTAGGTCCTTCCTCTATGACCTCTCCTGCCCCGGGATTTTGGCCAGGTTTATAGGAACAATTCCAAAGCAGACCAAGCCTCAGTTTCTAAGCAGAGAGTAGTCAGCTACCTCCCATAACTGACTTGCACCAGTGGGCACATGTTGCCCGGACATTCGATCCTCTAGAACACAAGGTCCACAATTATCTACCAGAAGCCCTCATAGTACCATCTGGCAGTATGAGAGCTAGCCACTGTGGGCAGTTGGGGGCTGGGGAGCAGGACAGAGAGCTTGCAGCTCACTTTCAGCTTGCCTTCTCTCTGCCCTGAGCCAAGAGCATGTGGCATCTTCAGCAATAAGCTCTTCTCGCCTAGTTCTGATGGGCAGTTAGGCAGGCACACTAGCAGATAGGTAACCTGTGTTGTTTGGGGTCTTTGGGGAAGAGAGCCAGCCCGTCACAGCTCTGGGATTTTCCCTTACTAACTTGTGGCTTCTGGGAGCAGCTTTATCCACCCACACATGATAACTCTTTTCACACTCTTAAACAGCCCTGGCTGTCGTGGAACTCACTACATAGACCAGCCTGGGCTCGAACTTGGAGATCTGCCTGCCTCTGCCTCCTGGGTGCTGGGATTCAAGCTATGCACCACCACTGCCCAGCTCCTTGTGACTTCTTCATACATTTTGTTTCTGTTGCTCCTCTCACCATCTTCTCCATTCTGTATCCCCGCCCCTTTTCATGCCTGTCATTCACCATTTCACACTTACAAAATACTGGTTCTTTCTGCATAGTCTAACTACATGCACTGGAGCCTCATGTGACAATCTGACTGTTGGTCATTGTTATTTGACAATTAGAAGCTGAGGCTCAAGGGAGAATAAACCATTTTGCCCAAGGCCATACAGCTGGTAAGTGGCAGAGACGAAGGCTGAAAGCAAGCAACCTGGCTCCAGAATAGATGATATTAGCCACAATCAGAATACAAAATAGATAGTATTAGCCACAGATTATCAGTCACAAAACATCATCTCTGAACCCCTAATGGTTCCGTTAGGTAGATGAGGCTCTCGGCTTTTCAGGTATGAAAAACTGAGGCCCAGAGAAAGCAGCTGATCCCAGCCATGTCCGACCGCCAAAAAGAACTGGTTTCTGATCCTCCCCCAGGTTCATAGAGTTTTAAAGTATATCCTCTCCCTACCCCCAAGCCCTCAGACCCTCCAACCTGCTGCTGCTCTAGACAGAGCAACGTCCATGCCGTCCATGCCCCCCATAGCAATGGACTGACAACTGATGTCACTTAGCTGTGGGGCTCTGGAAACCACAGAAGGGTGGATGGGATGGGTGAGTTGCTGGGCTTGCTGGGGTCACTTATCAACCTGTGCCTTCTGCCTCAGAACCCTCCACGGCAATGACATTTCCAGTGTTCCCGAAGGCTCCTTCAACGATCTGACGTCCCTTTCCCACCTGTAAGTAACCTCTTTCTCGGTGTGCATTGGCTCAAAACAGAAAATGGTGATGGTAACAGCCACAGCGTCGTCACTTTGTGCATATTCTGTTCTCGTGTTGTGCAGCTGGCCCTCTGTAGGCACAGGAGCCCCAGGAACCCATAGATGCTCAAATCACTTATGTACAGCGAGGCTGAATATACACAGAATGCCACACATCATCCTGTGTACCTGAAATAGTCTCTGCACTGCTTAGGATGCCTGCTATGACGTAAACACTTTGTGAACAACGGTTAAGCTATATTGGTTATAGAATAAGGACCCCAAAGATGTCCAAGTTTAGATGTGTTCATTACAAGAAAAACTTCTAAAAATCATTCTTGGCCCATAGTTGGATAGACCAGCACATGGGAAACCTGAGATTCAGAAGGCCAACGGAGGCTTATTTTGAGATTCAAACTATACATAATGTCTTGTCTCAGAAGCCTTCAATGGCATCAGGCATCCTGTCAAACAGATGTTTGAACCCTTACCACACCCTAAACACTTCCGATGAATTATCTGATGTATTTCTTATAGCATTAGGCTCTTCATTCCCTTATACATGATAAAATTGGGAGGTAGGAAGGTTAAGGAATTCTTTCTGGGGCTGCACAACCAGCAAGTAGCCAGCTCCCTATTTGCCTTGACTCCAGTGGGTATATTCACAACCATTCTGCATGCCTTTCTCATTCAACTCTAGGATGATGATGATGATGATGATGATGATGATGATGATGATTATTATTATTATTATTATTATTATTGAGACCATAAAAATAGGTGACTACCTGAAAGTCACTCATGAAGCCAGGGAGACTTCAGATTAGTGCTCAGTTTCCCTGACTTCCAGGCCAGCCCTCTTTTCCCTAGCTAGCACTCTAAGGTAGTGTTGTTTTCTGGGTAACCTACAGTTGTTACCAAGATCATAAGACTGTATTCCTCCTTCGTTTATATTTTAATTATTTCCATGTTGTATGCTTACACTGCAACACTGACATGTATGCATTCTATAAATCAAAAATAGAAATAGTAAGGAATAGGATCTTTTTTAAAAAAATGAATTGTTACTTTGGAGAAGTTTGGGTCGAACTGTGGCTCACTCCCTCATATCTTCAATCTTACTGGCGTGAAGCTGCTTCCTAAACCTGGGTCTTCGAACCTTCTTTGAAGAGGACATCTTCTAACAGACCCTTCTCTTGAGATGTAAAGGGGGCCAGAGTTCTGGAATGTGACCCTGGAGAGCCAGGATTAGAGTTAAGGACAGATTTTTTTTTCCAGAGCAGTGAAAATGAAGCCTCAGAAGTGGGGTGGCATTTAGGTGGAGGGGGAACATCTATGAAATTGGAAATAGACTCTGGAAACTTTTATTTTTGCCTGGTGGAGACGTGTCTTTTAGTTTGCACACTAGACTCCTCTAATTTAGTTTCAAAGCCTTGAGTTTTCAGGGTGCCACAGATGGGGAACCTGTGGGCCAGGCTAGGCAGGGCCTAATACCCTCTTCTGCCTTACAGGGCCCTGGGAACCAACCCTCTCCACTGCGACTGCAGTCTGCGTTGGTTATCAGAGTGGGTAAAGGCTGGGTACAAGGAGCCTGGCATTGCCAGATGCAGTAGCCCCGAGTCCATGGCGGACAGACTCCTGCTCACCACTCCTACCCACAGGTTCCAGTGCAAAGGTAGGTGCCGCCTGCCCACCGCCTCTCTGCCCTCACACGATCTGCTGTGTCTCCACATATCCGTGACTTGTAAAAAACACAGCCTGTCTCAGGCCTATAACCTAGGTAACACCACTTAGAATACATTGTAAATGCTGTGTACAAAGTTGTTACATTGTATCGTTTAGGGAATAATGACCAGTACATGATTAGCATGGGCACAGTCTTGGTCCAGATATTTGTGATCTGTAGTTGGCTGAATGTTCAGATGTGGAACCTGCCTGTGAGAGATCCATGAATATAGAGGTCTGGCTCTACCTTCTGGCTCCTTCTCCCCATGCTTTCTATAGTTAGGAACACCTCTCACTGGCATTCCTCATCCAGCAACATCAGCACTCCCATTGAGATTTTTGTATATGCAGTTCTTAAAATTGTTTTTACATTTCTTTGTTTCTCTCATGTGAGTGGGTGTGTGTGTGCGTGCGTGTGTGTGTGTGTGTGTGAGTGTACACACACAGTTCTGTGTCTATGGAATTCAGTGGACCACTTGTGGGAATTGGTTATGCCCTTCCACCGCGTGACCTGCAGGGATTGAACTCAGGTCCTCAGGCTTCGGGGCAAGCACCTCTATCCACTGAGCCATCTTGTCCCTTATGTGTGATTTTTTTTATTGGCCCATTACAACAACCCACTTCTTATGTGGCAGGGTCTATAGCTCTTATTTTTTTCTGTTGGACTAACTAATTCTTCAACCTTTCTATGGGTAGAGATTTGTAATACCCTCGTGTTAAATATTTAGAGCAACTAAGCCTTAAAGAGGTTAGATGAGTTTTCTCCACGTACTGGTGTTGGGAGTCAATTCCCTCCCCAGAGCCTTGCTCATCTTGACAAGCATCTCTTGCTGAGCCACATCTATAGCCCAGATTAAGATCACACCACTGGGACCGTGGGCCTTCCTAACCCTAGAATACGAGCTTCAAACCCTCGCATTGCTGCTGTCTTCCACCAGCAACTATTTCTTGGTTTAAAATACTCCTATGTTCCCATTTTTCCCCTATGGTGAATGCATGAAGGTGTTTCTCTGTTTAAAATTATATCCTCAGATAAGATTCAGAAACTCAAAATGATTGGCTCAAATATGTGGTCCTCAAACAGTTTACAGAATTGATTTCCAAAATGGGTGATAATGAACTTGGGCTTTCATTAGTGCTCTCCAAGTGTCTTTTTCTTAGAGAACCATATTCTTTTGCCTTATTTTGTAGTCTGAGTATCCCCTTTATTTTATCTGCCTTTAATTTTGAGGCACCCTGAATTTAATTTCTGATTTTATTTTGCGTTTGCATTGAATGTTTGTCTGTTAATGCCCTTTACTCATCCTGGAATCTTAATGTTCAGTTTTTATTTTCCCTTTAAAACTTTGCTGTGTCCCGTGTGGCTGCTGAAAGCAGAAAAACATTCCATTGATTTAAAGCTAATTTTAACTTTCTACTTCCTGCTTCTGAGACATCTGATCTGATACTAAAGGGACTGAAATAGCCCCGGAATAGTGGCGCTCAATCACCTAAAGGGCTTTAAAAATTGCAGCTCAAGGGCAGGGTTGTGTCTGGGCAGAACTGCGTAACGTGTGTAAGATCTGGTTTGGATCCCCAGTGCTTGCAAAATAACATTGGTTCTGGGTCTCACAAACTCTGTGTGAGTTACAGCCCAGGCATGAGATTTAGGCTGGTTCTGACTTGTCCTTGTGTGCAAAGAGAAATCTCTGGTCCCTGGAAACTCCTCAGTCAGAGGCAAGCATCGGCAGATCGCTCCTCTCATTCTGATGTAAGTCCAAGATGGACCTACTAGTCTCAAAACTGCCCCGGGGCCATACCGTTTACTGTACCTCCAAAGGGTCACTCAGCAAAGTGAATCCCAACCCATCTCCGGGTTGAGGACTGTTAGCTCCAGGTCAGTTAAAGTTCTGATATTAAAATAGAGTGTGTGTGTGTGTGTGTGTGTGTGTCTATGGCTTATGCTCAAAGCTGTCTGCAGAAGTAGAGTCCTTTTTTGCAAATCTCTGTGTGGGGACACTCAACTCACCTTCCAACATTTACAAAAAAAACACAGGAGATGGAAAACTTTCATGGGAAACAAAGGCAAAGTGTTCCCATCAGCATCTTTCGGAGTGGCATCATTACCCCCAAGTTCTTGCAGGAAGGATTCTCTGTGTGTGCCTTGGCATCCTTCCTTGACTAGTCTATGGGAAAGGGCTTGGCAGGGGCAAAGAAGAAGGTCAAAACCGAGCCTGTGCCCAGAACTTCCTGGAATAGAAGATATGCAAGAGGGTTCTAATTATGGTGCATTGTTTGCAGATTAGCACCCAAATCGGATCAGGCTAATTACGATAATTGATTTGACTGCAGAAGTGCTTCTGTGTGATGTCCCGCTGTGATTCTTACTCACTGGACAGTGGTTGAATTAATGGGACTCTCTCCAGATTGGATGTACAGCCTCAAGAGAGACAGCTGTCCTCTGGGCCTAGAGATGGGAGGGGACCAGAGCAGAGGGGAAGGGAGGTGAGTTACCCTGCTCAGAACGCTGACACCCACACTCCGGTTTCGCTACCCAGGGCCAGTGGACATTAACATCGTGGCCAAGTGCAACGCCTGCCTCTCTAGCCCGTGCAAGAACAATGGCACATGCAGTCAGGACCCCGTGGAACAGTACCGCTGTACCTGCCCCTACAGCTACAAGGTAAGGTAGGAGGCTTTGCCCATCACTCGTGCCCAGGCTCTTCCTTTGTCCTGGCTGCAGGGAGAGAGGCCATATGCCTGATGCTACACAGAGTAACCTAGGTAACTCTACAACACAGTGTGACATACACCCCCCCCCATACACACACACCTACACAAGGGGCATTTGCCTACAACATCCCTATTCTCCTCCATCAGAGGCGACCAGTGGAATCTTGACAAGGATGCTCTGAGATATGAAAGGAATGCTACCTGTACGATTTCTGTATTAGTCACAGGGAGATTGCAACCCAGGGAATTAAAAGGCCTCTTAGTAAAGGCATTCCTTGAACCCGGTGTCCTGACTGCCATTTCAGGGAATAAGAGGGTTATGGACTCAATGGCCTGGGGCTTCCAAGGCCACCCACATAGTTGGCAAGCCCAGCAAAAAGTTGTTCTCCTACCATTTCTACCAGAAATCCACTCTACTTCCAAGACAATCTTTTTTCCCCATTATTCTCACCCAGCATGACCAAGAACAAGCTATACTGTCCCCCTACTGATATGTATGGACTATGTGCTATGTTCTCTGCTTGACATCTGGCAGACCTGTGAAGAGGACCTATTTTATAGGTGTAGAAACTGGGCTTCCATAGACTTAAACTTCTGTAGATTAAAACTCAAGATGACTACGCAGTCCCAAAGCCAAAGTCCTTTCTCCTGAAGAGGCTCCTGAATAGCCAAACCCCTTTCAGTGCCTGGCTGGGATCAGCAAAGGTGTGGTTCAGTGCTGTTCCATGGGCTCCTCTAGATCCCAGCCTTCCAGGTACCATGTGAATGCACTGAACAAGCCAAGAGTCCAGGGCAGCCCGCAGCCATCTTGTGCACCATCTGCACAGGCGGAGTGATGGGAATACTGTGTCTGCATCCTCAAGGAACTGTGCCTGTACCATAACAAGCTTGAAAGGCAGTTTCTGGGAAACTGCTACCTGGTGGCTTTCTCAACTCCTGTCTGGCCGCTAGCAGACGGTGTCAGGGCGCCACCTATGGGCCTAGAACCAGAAAGCCCAAGGATGCCTTTTAAAGCCCTCTGTCCGTGAAGCCTTAAATTTAGCCTGGCGTCCCAGAGCAGAGATTGAGAACGACATAACTCAGGCACTGGGTCTGCTGAGACTTAGGCATTTGTGTTGAGGGGAAGGGGAGGGGTCTCAGGCTCCGGAATAACAGAGAAGCATGTGTGGATTGTAGCGTCGCCGTGTGCTATCTGTATAGCAATGACCATTGACTTCACCTAGCCTTCTCATGTGGACATGGGGATACTTTCCACAGGTTGTGAGAAAGAGATGAAGGGTCACGTGTGCAGCACACCTAAGAAAGGACCTGGTGTGCGGGAAGTGCTTGGCAGTCTGACGCATCACCCCCTGCACCTTCCCTCTTGCAAGCTGGTCAGCCCCTCACACCGGAGTGTGAGATGAGCCATCAGTAGCCTATGGTGCGCTGCTGCTTTCACTGGGGATTCGGTTTACAGCAAAGTGTCAAGGACTCTCATACATGTGGCTGCGTTGCCTTGGGAAACCAGGGTTTCCTAAGGCTGCAGAGCCGTTGCTATGGGTCCTCCCTCCGTAAGGCCAGTCCTTAATGAATCAGTTGGAGCAAGTCATCTCACAGGGCTCGCCTGATCATCCAGAGATATCAGTTCTTGTCCTCATTTGAAATGTCAACTAAGATTTGTAAATACAAAGAACTTACCCGTGCTCCACCACCTACAAAGCACAGATGCTAAAACCAGAACACAGTCTCCCCTAGTGACTGGCTCTCCCTGTACCTTGCCCTCCCACCTGCAGGAGAGAAGTAACAAGCTCTCCAGCAGAGCTGAAGCAAGGATAAAAACACATCACGTGGGCACCTCTCCTACGTAGGTGCCAGGTCTAGAAGACACTCCGCAGGGCCTAACAATCTTGCCACTGTTCCACGAATCAGGAAAATAAAATATACCTGATTTTTCTCCCTGAAATACTTAGCTTCACGTGGGAGCACATATGTTCCGTGGCTCAGAGCGGTACTTCCCAAGCCTTCGTGTGCCCAAGAATCTTATTAAAATGTAAGTTCTGACTTATGCAAGCTGGGGCCAGGCCTGAGATGGTGTGTATTTAACAAGCTCCCAGGGGCTGCCCAGGCTACTCGCCCAAGGCACTCACACTTTGAGTAACAAGCTTTCTGAGAGGTTCCCCAGTCCCATCTGACACATAGATTAAAGAAGTCCAGTAGCCCAGATTCCGTCAGAGAAGGGAGATAGGGTGGGATGGAGAACAGAAGGAAGAGGATCGAGGGCCATCCCAGTTCCCATAAATTTGAGAAAAAAAAAATGCAGCGGAAGAGAATTTAATTGGGCTAATTAGGCAGACATTGGAAATGGTGGTTAATTTTCAAGGTCCTGTAAGTGACAGAAATCTCCATTTCTAGCTCCAATTACTGTGTTTCCAAGCACTGGAAAATGCCTCCTAGATTTCTGTGCTCAGCCTAAAAGTCTACAAGCCACACCACCCTAGAAGAGGGGGATTTTGCCTGGTCCAAGTGGTACTTGGAAAATCACCAGAGTAGACAGACCAGATTACAGGCAGGGCTGGGGGGGGGGGCCCCACTGCAACCTTTCTGAGGTTCTCTTATCTCCTCCTCATCCCTATCTCTCCAGTACCACTATCTCCCATGCATGCATCCCTGAACTAGAAGTCAGAGACAGGCAGAGCTTGAGCTTGCTGACCAGCCAGCCTAGATAAGTGGTCTAGGTCTAAGACTCAGGTCTCGGTAAGGAATGGGCCACAAAGTTATCCACTGACTTTCCACACTTGCACTGTGACACACACACACACACACACACACACACACACACACACACACACACA